ATGGGCTGCCAAATCTCAGACAACCCCTGTGGAAACACTCATTAGAAGAACCCCAGAGGTCACCAACTTGTTTATATCTTGACTTGACTTTTTTATGCATGCAAATCATTATTTTTACAGAGTTTGTAATAACTCATAATTATTTTAATGGCATAGCATTGCTGTATCTGTTTTATGATCTACATAGTTAAAATCTTCTCAGACAGCCTAAATTCTAATACATTTTATTAATTTATGCTGATCTTCATATTTATTGTTCCCTAAAATAATTATGAGAAGCAAATGAAAATTCATGTTTAAAGAAGTGTTTTTAAAAGTCCACTATCCCTTTTCTAAAGATTAAAAGGCTGAAGCAGCTGTTTAGACTCACTGTAAGTATACTTTGGTAACTCTAATGGGGATAGATCCACTTAGGATATTTAAATCAATGTTTCATGCTCTGCCTTTTGGCTTCTAAAAGGAAAGATGCCGATTTCTAGTGCATTAAGCCTGAGCCATATTCTCACATGTAAGTGAAGTCATTAAAGAACTTTACATATGTGAGATAGAAACAATGGTTCCTTAGTTTTGCACTAGGAAGAAAATATTTTGTAAAATAATGTTTATTTGAAATAATGATAACTATCAATTGTTCACAATGTGGTAGAAATTAAAATACCATCTCAGCTTTAACTTTTAAATAATAATGATAACTATTTTTATTGAGCATCTTCTACATCCTAGGCATTGATTGTCCTAGGCGTTGCATGTTTATATCCCCAATTCTTACCACAACCCTGCAAGTAGGTGGTATTATCCAGGTTTTACCCATTAAGAAACTGAAGCTCAGAGAAGTTAAGAAACTTGGCCAACATCACATAGTAAGTAGCAGAGATGGGATTGGAATTCAGGCGTGATTCAAACCTGGATGTACTTGATTCCAAATGCCATGTTGTTTTCACTGTCTGCACTAACTTTTTAATTATTTAAAACTCTAGAAAGATGAACAAAGGTTAATTTAAACTTGCATAAGAAGATGAGAGTCAAACAAAACAGGTATGCTTACTCTACTTAAAAAGAAAATAAACCTCGTGTCAGACCCAGAAAGGACCAATCACTGTCCGATTTTAAACTATGTTGGGCCAATTCCGAAATATTATACGATGCAGAGGACAAATTTACCTACTTGTGAATTACCTCAGTTTCCCAACAATGGACCTTGGCACACTGGAGTTAACAATACATAACAGAGTTGCCAAGATGTTTATACCCTCAGCACTCGGGGCAACAAAGTGGAAAGTGGGGAGGCCATAGACCCAAACAAGTTATTTGGGCCAGGCATGGGCTGGTGAGTACACCATGCCTTGAAAATAAGTCCAGAAGCACTGGATTAAAGAGTGCTAATGCAGGAAATAATACACATAATTTTTAGATAAGGATAATAATTTATCTCTGCTCCTAATATTACTATCTCATTGTAATTATTTATAACCCTCAAGCTAGTTGATTTTTAATATATTTGATTGGAAAAGAACTCTCTGGTATTATTAAGACTCCCACAGGATCAGGGACAGGGCCCCCAAAGGAGTTTACTGTAAAATAGGCAGTAGAGATGTGGCATGGGCACAACCCTGCAGTCAAGTGTAACAGCATTCTATCAGGGTCACTTTGAATTGTGTACATAAGAAAACCAATACAAAAAACAATTTGTATTCAATATTGTCACATTTCTCTCTGGTAGAAAAATCAAATACCTTAGAGATTATGAAGTCATTAAATTATACTGAAATTGGATTGACTTACTACCTAACATTGAGTGCAGTTTTTAATTGAAAAGAATGAGATTTATAACCTCTTGAGTGTTGTTGTTGTGATATTTGAACTCATTTGAATATATTCAATATCATTTAATATCTGAATTAAGAAAAAAGTTGCCGAAATTTTCATTCAGATTGTCTATAAATTGCATATTCATTACTTGTCTGCTCTATTTAGATTTCTTTTAAAAGTTTAAGTAAATATTTTTATAAAACCCAGAAAACGCTATATTACAAAATATTATTTATTAAATGTAATTCATGAAATAGTCTATTTTTACTCTTTTTTGGGAAATACTTGTGTTTTTGATACATCTCCATGAAGTGCTTTTGACATAAGAGGCTATTTTGATGTTTTTATATAAATGATGGTTAACAGGCATAGCTTTTTAGGATACTTTACAGTAGTCCTGGCTGTTTCTCTGAAATGTAGACTTGGAAAATCTATTAGAAAGCAGAACAGGGGCAAACTCTCAATTTTACTTATGGCTTTTTAATTTTTTATTTATTATTTTTTTTTTTTTGAGACAGAGTCTCGCTCTGTTGCCAGGCTGGAGTGCTACAATCTCGGCTCCCTGCAACCTCTGCCTCCCGGGTTCAAGCGATTCTCCTGCCTCAGCCTCCCGAGTACCTGGGACTACAGGCATGTGCCACAACGCCTGGCTAATTTTTGTATTTTTAGTACAGATGGGGTTTCACCATGTTGGCCAGAATGGTCTCGATCTCTTGACCTCTTGATCCACCAACCTTGGCCTCCCAAAGTGCTGGGATTACAGGTATGAGCCACCGTGCCCAGCCGGCTTATTTTTATTCACAGTAAATCTTCAACAACTCATTCTGTCCACCAGATGGTATTTTTCTGTAAACTAAAATGCTGACTTCGCCTCTTCCAGCTGTACACTCATCCCTGCACTGAGCACAGATATGACAAGCAGTAGCCATGGGGGAGGTGGGTGACAAAGATAGGACCCTGGGAGGGGGCGCAGGTACATGCTAGTTTCAATTACCACAGTATTCTAGAGGCAGTCTGCAATGACAAGGAGGGCAAATGAAATTAGTGCAAGATTTCTTAGAGAATAATAGGCAGATGGAAAAAATGTAAAAACAACATAAAACAGGGTCTGCTGATAATGTTTTAAAATATACATTTGTCTTTTTGCATTGTGAAAAAATAAATTTTGTGTGATAGTTTTGATGATGAAAGGTAGAAGTTCTACCTATATTTGAATGAGTGTTTTTTTAAGGTAATGAGAATGTCATGGAGCTAAACTTGACACAGAAGAGATCATTGAAATGCTGAAAATTTTAGCAGTCTTCTTAAAAGTATTGAGGGGGCAAAAATTACCAATTATGCCATACAAAAATAAGCCTATAAATGTGTTTCACATTGCTAACTTGTGTTTCAGTTGATTCAGTTTGTAATAACTAGTTATGAACTTCTGTTTACAATAAAAATTCTGTAAATTGTTTGCTGTTATTTAATGGTTATATATTAACTGTTTTCTATTTAGTCATGAAAACATGATGAATTTAAATATGACTTGAGAATGGGACACGGTCAGTGTTTATGTAATCTCTCTGGACTCCTAGAACTCAAAGTTAGGAAGTTGCACATTCCCAGTTTTGAATGCCCTCCCCTCTGTGCATTGCAAAAGGCTTCTCTCCAGTGGTGCTTCCCTGGTGTCCTAGCGGAAAGTGCACACTGTCACCATGGCAGGAGGCCAAAGCCGGAGATGAAAGGATGAGGGCTGGCCACTAGGCAGCCTTGATGGCAGGATGGGTGGAGCCTCAAAGGTTCAGGTCTTAAATCCCTACCTGGCTTGATCCAGATAATCCACCCAATTGAAAACCACTTAGGATACAAAGATATGTCTTAGAAGCAATATTACTTTCCAGATCTTGTCCTTACCTGAAGTCGCCTCTGTTGCTTTTTTCCTTCAGTTTTCCCACCCTCTTTCTTTTATGTGTAAATGAACTCTTCATTTCCTTTCTATAGTACTTTGCTTTTTCTGCTGCCTTCTTCCTGTCTTTCACTAGCTGACACACAAATATATACACCCAGTATTTCTAACTGCTTCCTCATACTTCAGCTTGACTATGTCCCTTTTGAAATTTACATTTTGCCTAATTGTTTCCAGTTTCCTAAGCAACTTTTTCTGGAGTTCACAGTGGTTCCTTACCTAATACGTATAAATTTATAAATAGTATAACTTTTTAACAAATTAACAGCTTTCAATTTAAGATATAAGATTGTCCTTGTCTAGCTGTTTTGAACTCAAACCTATCATGTATAAATCTCTTCAGCTTAAAAAGAAACAGGGCAATTTTAATTCATGTCCACTTAAGAAAAAGTAGTTTTCAACCATGTCTTTCTCTTCAACACTACAAAGTAATGTACCTGTGAGTGGTGACTATATTTTTTTTGTTGCTGATTTTGTTACGTTAGCTTGGTGCACAGTTGTATATATAATGATCTCAGCTTTGAATGTAGAAAAAATGTCTTTCTTCCTGGGCAAATCAATTCAATTTTTAGTATTGCATAAGAAGCACACTGTAAAAATAAATCACTCCTCCATGCTGTAGGGCACCTTTGCTGTTCATGGCCATGTGTACCTGAATTTAAATGCCCTTGAAAATATGGGAGGATTGACCTTGTGTGAAACAAAAGTTTTAAAGTTATATTGTAAATTTCATTCACTTCACTCCATGCATTCATTTACACACAAACAGCATAACCTAGTGACAGACTGCAGACTATTAAAAATATAAAACAGATAGATAGATAGATAGATAGATAGATAGATAGATAGATAGATGTTCTCTTTTTTAGGAGTTCAGAACAGATACAAAGCAAAGCAATCGCAATGCTGAATGTTACTAATATGTATCCATTCCTTCAGTGTTTACTGAAAGATTTCTGTAAAAATAGACAAATATGGAGGCTAAAGCAGGAAAAATGACCAGGACATAGGATGTGAGGTGAGTCTGGAAGGATACTTAAGACTGTGGCTGGCCGGGTGCCGTGGCTCATGCCTGTAATGCCAGCACCTTGGGAGGCCAAGGTGGGTAGATCACCTGAGGTCAGGAGTTCGAGACCAGCCTGACCAACATGGAGAAACCTCATCTCTACTAAAAATACAAATTAGTCGGGTGTGGTGGCACATGCCTGTAATCCCAGCTACTCGGGAGGCTGAGGCAGGAGAATTGCTTGAACCCGGGAGGCAGAGGTTGTGGTGAGCCGAGATGGTGCCATTGCACTCCAGTCTGGGCAACAAGAGCGAAACTCCATCTCAAGACTATGGCTCAGAGGAAGAGGCATTGAACTTGGAACTGGGAATGAACTGAAAGTGAATTTCAGCATGCGATATGCATAGATCATTCTTTGCACAAGCCACATCTTTTAGTGGCTCCACATGAACTTATCAAGCTAGGTCATAAGTTTACCTAGATGACACAGGCTTTGAATACCAACCTTAGGGATTTGGACTATAGGCGAAATAATATAGGGAAAACATTATTGTAGGAAAATAATCCTTTGGAGTCATCTAGGATGGATCACGAAGAGGAAAAGTCAAGAGGCAGAGGCAAGAAACTCAGTTAAGTCATTTTAGTGTTTCAGACTGCTGCAGTGATGAAAACTAAACTGAGTGCCATTAGAACAGAGGAAGGGATGATTTCTTGGAAACTCATATACTCATTAATGGATTATTTGTACACAGTGGTTTTTAAGTGGAATTTAGTTTAAAACATCACAAAAATTACCCATTTTTAAAATTACTTTTATGATACATTCAGGAATTGTAACACACTTCTTTTATAAAAACTTTCAATTTCTTCTCAAAAATTTTTGGTACAGAAGATACTCAGTGTTTCTGTATCTTATTACATCTTCATGGTTCAGAGCCAGAACATGTGTTTGATAACACATTATGTTGTATATATCTAAATGATTTCATAATGATTTGAAAAGTCACAAAAGCCACACAGCAAAGCTTGTAATTCTTCTAGTCATGAAAAATAAGAGCCTCTTTTGTGAGTTGAACTTTTTAGTCGTAGAGTTATGGAGGGTCATGGTTTAGTGTAACTGGTTGTCATTTATGTAATAAACCACATGGTTGATTACGATGTTGTAGATAAGCATAGTAGACTTTGCTCTGTATTAATGGCCTGCAAGGAAACAGGGAAGTCTTTAATCTTGGTAAGGTTTCATTCATCCCAAAGCACACTGCAGAGTGAACAATACTGGAAAAGCAGATGCAGAGGTAAGGCCTAAGTGAATATGTATTTTCTGAAAAATCAGGGGAGTCCTTTCTTTAAAATGTGACATAAATGTAATTTTATACTATGGCTATGTCATTTTGGTAGCTACATTTTCATGCCCCAGTAAGAAATCAAACATTCGCTTAAATTGGCAACCAGGATAATTTCCCTAAATCTTAAATTGAAAATTAAAATTTCTGCTTATTTGCTGTTAGTTTTTTTATATTATTGTGAATAAGTCAATTCATTTTCCTTTTCCAGGCATTATGAAAAACCTCTGTTTCAGAGTCATTACCATAGTTATAGGTCTTTATTTTACTAGAATAATGACAAATGCATCAAGAAAAAGTAATATTTTATTCAATTCTGAATGCCAATGGAATGAATATGTTCTGACAAATTGTTCTTTTACCGGAAAGCATGATATACCTGTGGACATACCACAAACAGCAGCCACTGTGGATGTAAGTTTCAGTTTCTTTAGAGTTATCTTACAGTTTCACATGAAAAAAGAAGAGTGGAAAATAAAACATCTGGACCTCAGTAACAATCTCATATCAAAAATAACCTTAAGCCCTTTTGCATACTTACATGCTTTGGAAGTGTTAAACCTCAGCAACAATGCCATCCACTCCCTCTCCTTGGATCTACTCAGTCCTAAGTCCTCATGGGTGAAACGCCACAGAAGCAGCTTCAGAAATAGGTTTCCATTGCTGAAGGTGCTCATTCTTCAAAGAAATAAACTCAGTGACACTCCCAAGGGTGAGTACAATTTTAACTAGGCAGAGAAACAATGCTTATGTGGAGTTGTTTCATGTTCATAAGAATTCCACATTTGTTTTCAGCTTCAAGGAGACAGCTGAAAGTAAAGCAATTTGATCAGAGTATGTATAATAAAGTTTCTTAGTGGCATTGGAAGTTATAGTGTGTGGAATTTACAGCTAATGAAATTTAGTCTCCCATTAATATATCTGACATTAATGTTATGTGCAGTTATCGAGACACTAGGAAGTATGTAAGTGCTAAATAATAATGAGTGATTCTAAGTTACCTACTTTGGTTATCATATATTTGTTAATATAGAAAAGCACTGAGCAATAACTAGTTCAACTATATTTAATATGTAATGCAATTCAAATTAAATGTCATATTCATAATATTTTTCTTCTTTGAGTACATTTTGCCTCAGTCTATCTAGTTGTCCTCCAAAAGTACAGCAGAAGTATCCTAATATTATATATTGGTATGTAAATCTTCTGGTTATCAAGTCAAAATTAGAATTCCTTATCCTACTTTCTAACAGGGTACTCCAAATAGCCTCCTATTATCATAAATTCTCATCTGACATTCAGTAGTCTACATGTTGGAGACCTTAACAGTAAACACCAATGTTTTCTTTAGAAAATATATCAAGTTAATAAAGCAAAACTTCCTTTGCCCTTTTTATATTCCAGAGTGCTAGACAATTAATGTCCTTTCCTTGTTTGTTTCCAGGCTCATTCACTCTTTGCTAAGCACCTACTTTATATAAGACATTATACAAAAAAATGTATAAGGATATTGTTCTCTTTCTCCATTCCAAGTTGCATATATTTGGTTTTTCTTATTATCCAGTTCTGACATTTCATGTTTTTATTTTCATGCTCTTTCTCCAGCTTTGTTTTAAGCATCATTTTGGCAATAATAGCCTAGCAGGTATAGGAATTATTACAGTCACCATGTCAGCAGAATTGTTTGAGAAGGGTTGGAGTCTTCTGTCCCTGACCTTCTCCATAAAAGTAGTGTGTCATATTTTCAGTGTAAATGAAATGCATTTTATTTTATGATTTTTATTGTATTGTTTTTATTACAAGAAGAATACCTGTTACTTATACTGAAGAAAAATTTAAAGGGAAAAATTAAAGTCACTCATGTTATATATATTCTTCTAGTTTATTATTTATGCCTATTTGTACCTTTTTCTTTTAAAATTGGATCATACTGTCCATATTTCTTATTTGTATTTTCATATCGTAGAATATTTTAATATCTTTATATAATTAAGCCACCTCACAAATATTTCAAATAATTGAATAGTTTTTATATATGCATATATCATAACTGGTTTAATCAAGCACTAGGTTATTTCCAGGTTTTGTTTTTTGATAGACGTCATTATAGCTACATATAGACATGTAATATAACAAAAATTTTTAACTGGTATGGTAGATGTGAATCTCAATCCACAAACTTAAGTGTACTAGAGATATAACCTTCTATTGTCTGTAGTAACATAATTTCTGATTCTGAGCCCCCATTAGGGGGAGTCGTAGGGATACTTAACATCAGTCTTTCATCAGCTTTCCTCTGCCTTTGCCTGGATTTGTACCCAGCTCAAGAGTCGTATACTCGTAAGAAGTCATCAAGGTGTGAATGTTCCTTACCCCTGCTAGCCAGAGAATATTTCTTTTCAGTCTCTTCAGTTTGGAGAAAATTTCTTCTCCCTTTTTTTTTGTCTTCAAAACCCTCTGTCTGGCAAACACTTTCTTCTAAAGGTTTAGGGTTTTGGATAACGAAAGCCAGAAAGACTTGTAGACTCAGCTACTTTCTGCCTTGCCATGTGCCTTCCCTGGGACAATGAACATGGAGCCTAGTCTCTGTGTGAATGGAGAGAAAGAGCAAGAGGAAAATATAGGAAGGTAAGAGATTAACAGGTCAAAATATTATCCCACCACAAGAGTAAATAGGGAAGTGCTGAGTTTCTCTCCTTAAGGCAAATGAATTCCCCTGAGCTAACTGGGGATTAGGACTAATACAGTTCCACTTAAAGACCAAATATCCCTATAAATGCAGATACAGATCCATCTTCTTTTTTTGAGTTAAGCTTTTGCCTCCCAAAAGATCAAGAAAAATGTTCAACTTGAAGAGGAGGGGGAAAAAAGAAGTGAAGTGAGCAAATTCTATATCTGAAATTCTATTAAAATTCTAGCAAATTAAGTCATAGAGAGATGAATGAAAAGATATAAATGTTGGAAGTTCAGTGTAAGGCATGAGTCTGACTGGATATAATTCAGAGTCCTTTTATCTATAGTATTTTGTTATTTAAATTATTTTCCCATAATCATCATATTAGTTTTCACTAGGTTGAGTCTCCTCTAACAACTTTTCCTATTTTATGATTCTGTGACAATGGCTGGGTTGCTCTGACTTTGAAATCTCATTTTAAAGGGAACTGCTGGTAAGAGAGAGATGCTGCCTAGGGCATACCCTATTTTTGGCCTATTTCTTTGTTCTTTAATTCGTCACTCTAAGTCTATTTATAGGTGACATCTGGATAAGATAAGATTTACTCATTGGATCATTGTGAGGATTAAATGAAAAAATATATCTCAAAGACCTAACTTAACATGGTATTTGGCATAATAAACTGTCATAATTTAAATATGTGAAAAGTACTTCAGAATCTTGTCTGACGATTTATCTTGGAAATACTAGTTTTTATTATTCTCTTGTCATAAATTGAGAATAACAGTGTATTTAGAAACAAATAATTAATTTTTATCTAAATCTCAAGTTTTTGTTTGTTTTTTGAGGTGCAGTTTCACTCTTGTTGCCCATGCTGGAGAGCAATGGCATGATCTCGGCTCCCTGCAACCTCCGCCTCCCGGGTTCAAGTGATTCTTCTGCCTCAGCCTCGCAAGTACCTGGGATTACAGGCATGTGCCACCACATGTCGCTAATTTTGTATTTTTAGGAGAGAGGGGCTCCTCCATGTTGGTCAGGCTGGTCTCAAACTCCTGATCTCATGTGATCCGCAGGCCTCAGCGTACCGAAGTGCTGGGATTAGAGGCATGAGCCACCGTGCCCGGCGTCAAATTATTTTTTAAAATGTTAAACAATTATTGCAGTAGTAGCCCGCTATAATTCATGAGCAGATAATTATTTGTGTCTGACTATATAGGCACTTGCATTCATCTAAAATAATAATAATAAATTAGGGACATCTCAGAAAGCAACAGTCAAGCAACCTTCATAACTATGTACCACATATTTTAAAATGGGGACTGTTTCTAGAACCAATGAAAAGTTTCTTTCACTCAGGAAAGCCCACTTTTGTAAGGGCGAGATATCACACGAACTAACCCTGTCTTCAGAGTCAGTTGTGGTGTCATCAATAAGCTCCATGTTGGGAAAACGCCCAGAAGAGGTGCTGGCCAATGCAATTTATAAAACAGAAGCCAACCATGAATTTAATCTTAATAATGCTTCCACCTTCCTCCCATATTTTTGGAGTATAGCATCAATAATTGAAAAACTAGTTTTAAAACATGAAAACAATGGGATCGGTCACTGGTTAATCTGTCTTGCCTTCATCAAGCAGTATTTTTGGAGTGCTCACAGAGTAACTGGAAATGTAGCAGGAACAACATCTTGTTGGGATTCCAGTTAGGTTGATAGACCAAATGTAGCAGCCTCACATTAACCAACTAAGTTCCAGAACCCAAGAGATAAATGTGTTAGAAATAAGATGAAATAGAACCTAACATTTGAAACTGGTGGAATTAAAAAAAAAAAAAACAAAACAAAAAAACACAATGTATTATTAAAAAGTAAAGTATATTATGTTCCTTTATTCATAGAAAATTAAAGATTTCATCCTGATTGCTACTGGATTATGGAATTATCAATAAGCAATGTACTGAAAACTAATTCAGGTTCTAAAGAAACAAAAAGTATATAAGACACTAAACTAAGAAGGCAAGGCCTTTGGCTCACCTACATAATTTGACCACAGTAAGATCTGACCTAATGAATCAAATATCTTACCCAGGACCATTCTAGACTCTATTCCAATTCTTACTGCTCTTTGGACTAAAAGCCACAATCCCTGAATATTGTTGTTTTATGTTATCAGGTTATCACACTTGGGAGAGCACTTAAGAAGTTCATAGTACAGAGGGTGTATTTACTAAGTGTAATGTCCGAGTGTCCTTTCTGTGGCCTTTTTTTTCTGATAGATCATTTCTTGGAAATAATAAAACTGCCTCTGGTCACTTAAATGCAAAGGCTAATAAAATTCCTGCCTACTGTGGCCTTTGTAATCTTTAGAAAGCAGTTCAATAAATAATTCCCTTTCCACAAAGTACCTCTATGTTTTCCTCCCGGCATTCAACTCTCCTCTCTTGAAACATAAAATCTACCCCTGATGTTCAAGCCCCAGCCATGAATGCACCATACAGCCTCTTTCACTCATTTGACTACCCTCTGAACATTGGCTCACCAAGCAAAAATATTAAAAGAACACATTTTCCCATTGAGAAGTGCAATCAAGTACCATGCAAGAGTTTTCTTAAATTTTCCAACTCCATCTTGAGAGACCCTAAACAAACCAGGTTATCTGAAGGACCAAACCAGTTCCCTTAAAAAAAAAAAAAAAATCTTAATTATCTAAAATTGAAAGTAAAGGAAAAGTTTTCATCCAGGAGGAGTAACTGAACTTCCTGGTCTTTATTCTCATCTCCAGAAGAAATGCACCTTCCTCTTGCAAAATCTCGGCTTGGTATTATGAGGGGAGTTAAATAAGAGGATTCTCTAATAACTGCATTCAAAATCAAAATCACCCTCTCCCCCACATGCTTGGGTATATTCAGTTCCCATTCTTTTTATTTACTAATTTTTTTTTCTTTTTTTAGACGGAGTCTCACTCTTGTCACCCAGGCTGGAGTGCAATGGCATGGTTACAGCTCACTACAACTTCCGCCTCCTGGGTTCAAGAGATTCTC